GGCCAGGGAAAAGCCTTAATTACCCATTTGCCTTGAAACTCAAGCCAAATCACAACTCGCTTGGGTCTGTCCAACGCCGCATTCCTACCTCCCTCGGTCTAATTGTGGGTCTGGATTTCTTTTTCACCCTCTTCTCTGCTGTGGAATTGGAAAGAAGAAATTAAATCAAAATAAGAGGGAAAATGTAAAAATTTTGAAGCAGGTGATGAGAGAATTAATGACCTCATTTTAGGGACTGATTTTCCCCGTGTGTTGCCTTTCTAAGAAGACGGAGAGGCTGATGCACACATGTATTATCTTAGCAGCTATCGTGTAGATTTTTGTATTTTCATTGTAAACGCTGCCACTCACAGTCGCAGGAGTGCAGGGCTTTGAGACGGAAACAACAAAACGATCTCCTCTTGTCTGGTTTGCGCTTCTTTTATTAGAAAAACAACACTTCCTCTGTGTCTTTGAATGCAATTTAATTACTCTGACTTGTCATTTGTTCACTGTCGTATCTGAAACATATCGAACCTCTGTGATTGATTACAGGGTTCAACATTTTAACAGGTAGCAGTGCCACCTCTTGTGTGGCAGCAAGAGAAAATATGGTTATTGTCAAATTCGATGAATAAACTGGATGTTATATTTTCACTGAAGGTGTACTTGTAGTAATTAAAATGGGGATTGAAGTATGCTCCCACGTTCAGTGATTCTGTTTATATTATCATATTATTAATAAGGTATATGTTTTGTCCACTTTCTTGATAAATAAATGTAGTGCTTAAAATGTTGTATGTATGTATAGTTTATCTGTGAAGGCCTGTTTGTACTGTTTCCACTGTAGTTTTAACTACAGATGCCAAAAATTACACTTGACAACAAAACTAGACTAAATCACAATATACGATTTTTACTTATTGATTATCTTGGTCCAAAAAAATAAATCAGAGCGCCTCTGCTTTCAGTTGGTGTGTGTGTGTGTGTGTGTGTGTTTTGTCAAATTAAACTGAAAAGAGACTGAAATGAGATGAGAGTCTATAACTGTACAGTTATTTATGATATTATCATTTTTCATTATTTACATAATTTTCAGTTCATTTTTAAATACGTTATTATTCATTTAAAATACTATTTTATATGCTGTGATCGTCCAGTGTAATCATGTCGACAGAGTAATAAAGTATATTGTTTAACACTTGATTAAATTAGGTAAAATATTAAAGTTATTTATGAGTTGCACTGACATTATTTTTTATCATGTTGTATAATTACATTTTAAATATTCAATAATGACTCCGTGTGGAAAAAACAAACAAACAAACTTTGATGAGTTGACTGGTTTCAGTGGTCTTGATTAAAAAAGCAGAAGCAGATAGAGGAAGTCTGAAAGTCACGTTTACTGTAATCAGCCAATGGCATCCACAGGCCGGACCTCAGCGATGTAACAGCAGCCTTTGAGTTTGTGTATTTAAATAAAGGAACTTTGAAAACAGCATTACAACCCTACTCCAAATAAGCCCCTCCCCTCTGCTTTCAAACATTATTACATACCAACAGTGACAGCGTCTCACTTCATTCTGCGTTGTATTTTCAGGACTATATTTATCAGTGTGTTTCAGCACAAACATGTGGAAAGCTGCCAGTATGGCATTTTTGATTGATTGTGAATACAGGAAATGTGTGCTATCACATCCAAGCGTTTGCTTTAGCGCTGTGCTCGCTGGCTGTGTTCCTGGGATTGTGGTTTCTGTGGTCCACTGCTGCAGTGCTAATTGTGCGTAGTTGTAATTTACACTCAATGTTTTCAGAGCTTTAGTAAATTAGTTAAGAATGCATGAGAGGCTGATGACTTCATTGTGCTTTTCTGTTGGTGTTTTTGTTATTTGTTTGACTTTTTCCTGTGGTCACTTTGTGTTTAACCAGCTCAAAGAACAAACTGAGACAAACAACCAAAGGATAAAGAAACGTAACAGCTTGTATTTGTGCTCTGTTCTCATGCCGAGAAATATCAACGTGGGAGGCGTGTGCCTGAAAACTGACATGGAGGTCACAAAGGTCAAACAGAACAGCCACGTCCACCCTCTTCCCCAAAACACAGGGAATTCACTGCCAGTGCCAGTTAGAAATCACAAAAAGTCAAAGAAAATGAAAAACAGCGTCATCATAAAAAACTATGTACAACCAATGGAGCAGTAAACAAAACATCAGTGTGTGTTTTTGTCGCAAAAAGGCTGCTTAACAACCTTTATTTGATCCCATTCTGTACAACATGATTCATTACAACAGTACAAATTCATCAGGTTCTGTTTGTCCCACACAGCGAGAGGAGAAACAGGCTGTGACAGCCCGTCGTTGGATTGGGATGTGTCATTAAACGCACCGGCCCCTCTGCATCCCCATATAAGATCAACACATCTTGAGGTACTCACAGTACCCTATTCACAAAGGATGCACATAGTCTACAAGGTTTTTTTTTTTCAGTTTGTTTTTTTAAAAGACAAGCTCCGTAGGAATGACAGCAAGTGCCTACACATGTATTTCAAACCATCCATGAAGAATACTCCATTCCAGAAGAAGAAAAATAGATACAAGTCAGGATTCTCAGTGTGTTTTTTCCTGAAAAAAATGGGACCCACCCTCCACCCTCACCACCCTACTGTCAAATCCAAGTGTGTTACAGCTTAGTATTTTTTTAATTCATTTATTTTATAATTTTTTAATTTAATTACACCCAAGGCAGAATAAAAGTTACTAAAATTGAAGACTTTTACAATTACAGTGACAAAAACAGTTTAAGAGACCCACAATTTAAACTGGACTGTAACGTAAAAAGAATAAAAAAAACAACCTTTTTATAGTCTTGTAAAATGCCCAGGCATTCTCCAATATTACAAATACTGGTATACTTTTACAGTAAACAACAAAAATGTAATATATATTCATATATATTTATATACTAAAACCCCATCACCAAAAGAAAAAAGAACACAAGAAAGGAAAAACAATGTACACGTTGCCACTTTGGCATTCAGAGAAAGTTTCAAAGCAAACCTGAAAGAAATGTTTCAAACTCACATACACACACATATTATTTTTACCCTTGTATCAATACTGTAAACTTATTTTAAGACAGAGTGCACTAAATTCTGATCTTCTTAGTTACTGCTTTTCCTGATTTTTGTCCAGTCTCTTCCCTAACTCTTTGTGTGGCTTTTTGTCCTCTTCTTGACTTTTCTGTTGAGGGACAGACTCGTTTCATATAACTCTCTATATAGGTTTGTGCCTTTATATGTACATATGAATACATATATACACACACAGACACATTGATGTTGTGCTGGGTACTCGTCATTGTAAACTCAGCATTGTTACGTTTGTATTAATTTAGATTTTTCTGTTTAACGGTCACATTACACAGTAAAGTTGATACGTTTTAGCTTTCGTTTAATTTGTTACTTCATAACAAATGTTGCATTTGTCAAAGATAATAAATAGGAAGGTCATTGGTCAAGGCACACTCATGTCAATTTGAACGGCAGTACAAAAACTGTCCCAAATAAATTATTATTATTCTTAATTTACAGTGCCAACATTGGGAAAGACAAGCCTAGCAACCTTGGGCACTTTAGTACCAGGTGATCCCAAGCTCCAGGCCCTTTAGTACATTTCTGTACGTGTGCGTCTGTTGTTCAGAGCTGCGAGTTCGTACACTGACAAATGTGCCATTATGAAGGTGAAAAGGGCTTAAAGAAAACTGATTCATGGTTTTTAAAATAACAACAGGACATGAGGCAAACTGATAAATTAATTTTATTATTTCAGCACTCAACTAACAATCAATAATTTAAATTTCTAAAGAGGTGGCTTCATCAATCAAACTGTACAAGCACTATAATGCAATTTGTCCAAATTGACTACTAATGCAAGTTCAACAAATTGTCATGTATTTTAGCACAAAATGCATAGGGATCTGGCTATTATTATTATTTTTATTATTTTAGAAATAAAACTTTGGGGTCTTAACATCCACTAGGTTGCCAGTGACCTGTTTAGGCTTCACGTGCACTGTTTCTATGTAATTTTTGCTTATGCAAATCTAAATGTAAATTTCTTAATGACCCTTCCATCACAAGATTGCCATCCATGTGTGCCAAATACATACAGATTCCATACAACGTGGAAGAATTGAACCTAATCATAAGATTAAAGAGGACACTTGTGAGCTGGTGGATGTTAAGGCTAAAACTTTAGCCACGTGAGGGGTAAAACTGTCTCTAATGATTACAACCTATGATGAAATAAATGCTTTGCAAGTTGTTTCCCACGGGGCAACACAGGAGTGAACAGGTAAATAAAGGAAAGTAGTACAGTTTACCCTGAGATGTCCCTGTGTTCTCTCGGTCTCATTGTTCTATTTCTTGCTACGCATACTCGTCATGGCTTCGTGCTCTCTCCTAATAAATAACACAGATCATATGGCTTCATGCAAAAGAGTGCATGGGTGTATGAATGTAGATGAGATGGTATTAACACAAAACAAAGGGAAAGATGTTGTAGCGTTGTCGGAGCTCGGCACTATGTACCAGTCAGCAGCTGCCTTACCTATCATCAGCTTCTTGCGGCTGGTTAGGGTGTTTTCATGAGGAGACGGGTTTACGAACCTTGGGATCCTCTTTCATTTTACATTTATCGTCAAATATGACACTCGGTGCTATATATCCAATTATATTGACATGTTTTACAGTCAGTTCATGCTACAATGCCAAAGGATTGTTGTTCGCGTATCACATAAAATAGACTAATTCTAGCATTCTCAGTTAACACCACTTTCAAATTGAAGATTGATTCAGCTTTTCAAGAAATTACACATTTAGCTTAATATACAATTTCCTACAAGAAGTGGCCAAAAAAAAGAGACAAAATGGATTTATGTCCTCTAAGGAACTCTCAGGATATCACGTGGGTTTAAAAAAAACAGTAATGAAAAGAAAACAATAAAAAAAATTCTAATAAAAATGTACCTGCACATGCCAAAATACAAAATCCAATAAATACAGAAATTATTGCACAGTTAAAGGCTCCATATATTTTATAACTCAACTGACGGATTGTTTAAAAACGAATGCCACATAAGGCAGTTTAGACAGCTTCAGTTGATCTCTGTTTTCACGCTTTTTTTTTCTCAGTTGGCAGTTTATTTAATCAAAGACACAATTAAAATTAACCCAAAATTAATATCTTATAAAAAAAGTATCCAGCTACCCCTTTTTGTTATTTTGAAGTCAAAGAGTACGGAAACAGGGAATTAGCTTTAGGCCCTCTCTGTTTGTTCAAGTTTGACCTCACTGGTCATCAAATGTTCTCCATGCCACTTTTTCATATGTTTCTCCAGGGTGCTGTACACGCTGAAGGGCATTTGGCAAATGTCACAGCGATAGACCTCCTTACCAAGCTGGCCATGTGTCTTCATGTGGCGCGTGAGCTTGGAGCTCTGGGCACAGGCATAGTTGCACAGCTCACACTTGTAGGGCCTTTCACCAGTGTGACTACGCCGATGCACCGTCAGGTTGCTACAGTTCTTGAACACCTTACCACAGAACTCGCAGGTGTCGCACCTCCTGCTGTCCTTGGAACTAGGTCGACCTGGACCAGGGCCACCACCTAGATGAGGTGTGCTGCCCCCACTGGCGGTGCCGCTGCGGCCAGACAAACCCCCATCTAGCAAGTCACCTGGAGGGGTTGAGAAGCGCAGGCTGCCATTCTCTGAAGAGTGCTCAGAGGAGGTGGCAAAGGGCGATTGTCTGGAGTCACTGAAGCCTAGAAAAGGGTCTTTGATGAAGTGGCGTGAGGCAGCATAGCCAACCAACCACTGGGAGTACACATTCTCAGAAGGAATGTGGGGTACAGGGGGAATGTCCAAGTCCTTTTCTATCTTGATCCTCTTATTTGATGAGTTGGACAGGGTTGGGCTGGTAATGGGGGTGGGCTTACGGGGGAACAGACCTGAGAAAGAATCACCGGAGCCACAGTTCCGGCCATTAATGGTTGTCCTCTCCTGTTGGTGGTCATCTATTTCCCCAGCCACTGAATCCTCATCTCCAGTATCCCGCTGGCCATCCAGGGCTCTCTTAGAGAAGGGCATCCTTTTACGATTGTCAACTATCAAATTATTGTACTGCTGTATAGAATTGAGCCCCCCACCTTCCACTATCTTCTCAAGGCCAAGGGACGACTTCTCCTCTGATAGAGGTTTAGAACCATTCTCCCTGTTCCGGTAGAACTCAGACTCCATGCTGAAATTTGATTCTGGTCGACTCTCATTCTCAAGCTCCTCTTCCTCTTCCTCCTCTTCTTCCTCCTCGTTGCCTTCCCCCTGGAAATCACCATCACGGTTTTTCATACCCTCACCTGGCACGTCACTGGTGCCTGGTTCTGGGGAGCTCGTGGTGGATAAGCCATCATCTGAACGCCCCGTCAGGGATCCAGCCTTGTGCATGTGGGTCTTCATGTGGCGCTTCAGCTTGCTTGCCTGAGAGCAAGCGTGGTCACACAACTGGCACTTGTATGGTTTCTCTCCAGTATGGCTGCGCCGATGTACCACCAAGTTGCTCTGAAACTTGAAGGTTTTACCACAGAACTCACAGGACTTGATCTTGTTCTGCGTCTGGGGAGGGGTGGTGCTGTTTGGGGGCATTGGTGGCAATGGAGGAGTGCTCAGAAATGGCGATTTTGGCCCAGGCTGGAAGGGATTAGGGTTTAGTAGTCGATGCATAGGGTTAGGCCTGTTGGGTGATAATGGTGGTGTGGTGCTGTTAGTGTTCCCTGCTAACTCTCGTAACCGCCTGGAGAAGTCCATAGACTGGGACTCCATGGCCATAGGTGTTAGCCGCATCACCCTTTCAAAGGCACTGGGGTGCTGGGAGATGAGGCCCATTTCCTCTGCACTAAGGCGTTCCAGGCGATGGGGGTCCAGGTGATGGCGGGGAGGTGGAGTGACAAATGGAGGCGTACTGGGGAGACGGTTCTCTACAAAGCCTGGAGGAGGTTCACGGAGCAGGGGTGCTGTCATCCTCAGTAGGTGGAAAGGGTTGTTATCCCCTAGAAAGTTGGCGAGGGGGGACTGTGGGATGGAGTCGTTGCCAATGGGTGGAGGCATAGTGAGGCGTGGGGTGAGGGTTGCGCTGGAGGGGCTGGACTCCAGGTAAATGCGAATGCCGTGGGTGTTCTGGGCATGCTGCAGCAGGAACCAGGCGCTGGGAAAGGGTTGCTTACAGGTGGTACATGTATAGCTCGAGGGCTCATCCCTTCCACCTGCAACAGACACAGAAACAATAAATTAAATATGTGAGCACAGATTCTTTTCTGTGAGATAGGCTACATTAATGTGACCTCATTCATGATTTTAATTGATTTTAACAATAACTTTTTAAAAATGTGTCCGCGTTGTGTAAAATTTTCTTGGCTGGAAGGCAGTGAGGTGCTGGAGTGTTTTATATTCTGCTTCGGACTGCTACTAGCTGCAAAGACTATGGGTACTCAGCTTGTCACATAAATTCTAATACTAATCATGTTTTGACAAGTGCATTTCCACAGTCACATTAGATCAGCACACACTCAATCCATGTACCAAGAGGTGCTCCCTTAGTCCAGGGACTCTCTCACTAACAACTGCTACTACAGTGTACTATATGTGGCTGCTGTGTGTTTGATAGATAAACCGTTATGTGTGTAAGCAGGCTAGATGATTTTCTCCAAGGATGACAGAAATAAATTGGCTAAAGTCATATTAGTTAGGACAAGAATACTCATAGACAGAAAAATAAAATCATGTGTTTATCTGAATAAACTAATCTAAATCCTCAGTGTTTTATAACGTGGAGCAGAAAACACTACGTTGTGATGGATTTCCTGTAACACTGAGCAGTCCAAGATTTGTTAAACCCTATTTAGGGCTGAACCTTATGTATTGACTGTGTAGCTGGGCAACAACCAAGAGGCAGCGATAGCTGATGATAACACTTTTTCTTAAAATTATTTTATAATAATCATAGTTAATAAATGGTAAATTGACAAAGTAGGTGAAGTTGTATAATTCATTACTTATATTTATTATGTGTTAGCAAAATGACAAATCTGTCAGTCATGCAGCAGAAATTAAGTGAAAAAAATAAAGACAGAAAACCACAAAAAAGAAACACACACGTTAAAATCAACAGATTTTCAGAAGAAACCTTGTTTTTTAATTTTTTAACAGATTTGAGTTTCAAATATTAAAGAACCACTGATGTGCCATATAACTAAATCCAAACAGCAAACCTTACACACAAGTACAAACACACACAGAGATAATGGTAATTATACGCTTGTTCTTGTATTCAGTGAAGTGTTGACCTAGTACACTCATTTCAGATACTGGGCAAAACATATGCTGCTCTAATTGTTGCCCTGTTAGCCTTATTTGTGTGTGTGTGTGTGTGTGTGTGTGTGTGTGTACATGGCCATGACTCTTTTTGGCAGCCAAAGACACACGCACAAAATCACACAGACGCACACACACATATATATAAATACTGGTTCTAATGTAGATGTGTTTTTATCAGACGTCACAGAGAAGCTAATATTTTTTCATTTCACATTTCTCCAGTATAAATACAGTTTTCTCTATTTGCCTGTTTAAAAATATATATTTTAGGAATGTATGAAATGTATTATTAGTCAACATTTTTAAAATTTCTGTGAAACACACACAATATTTAATCTTTTTTTATAAAAATCTACAGAAAGAAAATAATACTTTGTTAGAATTCATCAATTTAATCATTAATTTATTCATTTATATTAAAGAAAAATACTGCTCACCATCTCTTGCTTGCAAAATATTGTGTGTGTGCATGTGTGTGTGTGTGTGTGTGCGTTAAGTGGCTAGAGGTGGAACAGCTGTTTAGCTCCACAGTCCTGTATAGCCTTTTGACTTAATTATAGCAGACCGCACGCACACACACACACACAGACACACACACAATAAAAATAACAGCTCCCCGTGTCTCAGCTTTTGTTGGCAAGTTTCTCTCACAGACACACACACATGCACACACACAGACACACACACAAGCTGTTTTAGTGCTGAATCTTAAGTGAATCTTAAGACCCTTAACACTCAAAAAAAACCACCACCACCTCCAACCCCACCGTCTCTGTTAGCTTGACCCCCTCCTCTTCTGCTGACAGAAGTCATTGGAATGTGTGTGTGTGTGTGTGTGTCTGTGCGTGTGTGTGTCTGTGTGTGTGTGTCTGTGCGTGTGTGTGTCTGTGTGTGTGTGCGTGAGCAAACGAAACAGGGAGCGAGTAATAGAGAACGCGCCATTTCACTCTGGCCGCAGTGGAGGGAGCGGGTCATGGTTTTTGCTTGGGGGAAGTGTGTGTGTGTGTGTGTGTGTGTGTGTGTGTGTGTGTGTGTGTGTGTGTGTGTGTGTGTGTGTGTGTGTGCGCGCGCCCTCCCAGGGGAAAGGAGTCTAACGCAGATGGCAAATAAAGTATGCAGCCTGAGGCGAGAGCACATTATGCTAATTCTAATGTCAGCTGTACTTTAATATACGACTCTATTTAATCACCCCATTATTTCCTATTTCCATATGAAAAAACAGAACGAGCGCGGGAGAGCGAGGGAGCTGCTCATCACTTTATTTGGTAGAATGCAGAGGGCCGTGCTTTATGGAGGGGATGAGAAAACACACTCCCCTCCTCAGCATCTGCACAGATACACTGTGCCTGTGTGTTTGTGTGGAACGCGCACACGCACACGCGGCTTGAGTTACGACCCACTGTACGTCTGTTTACAGTAAGTGTGGGCCGCGTGCTTCAGTAAAGGTTATAGTAGTTCATTTTGAGCACCTAGTTTTGTCCTTTATAGAATAGATTATTTTCCATGACAGATAAACTTTAACTTAGCTGAATTATGTTGCCATGTAAAAAAATAACGTTTGCTTACTTTGCTGTTATTTAACTCGACTTTGCTGGTTTTACGTCTCACTGTTCAGTGTCCATCTGCCAAGACAACACTACCTTAATGTGCTCCTGCTGTTCAAATGCCCTCTTCAGCTGCCAGACAAAAGCAAAAACTGTGTGAAAATCCTCTGACTGCTCTCACCGCAGAGATGCGGGGCAACAGCAGCACTGACACATCACAGGACAAAATAGCATCTTTTGTGGCTTAAATAGACTTCCAGATCGAGAGGGTGTGTTTGCTCTGTGATGTGACGAGAACGAGGGATGTTAGTGTTTCCTGTCTGAACTGGCTTTATTTTAGTGATTTGAAATGATTCATGATGAAATAATTACAGCTGCAGTTTGGTATCCAGGCTCCCAGCCTGTCTCTGCAGATATGCTACAAATAAAATTGGGGAGTGATCCCAAATATCCCCCCTGGAAATGATGCAGCTCATCGTTCACCAGATTGGACGAGTGATGGTGCAGTTTGAGTCGCCTGCTGAGCTAACTTGCAGCTTTGCTTTATTTGTGATCAGATGTTTAATCACGCGATGTAGGCCAATGGGCCATTTTCTTTCAAAAATGACCAAATGAGGTCAAAAGCAGGAAAGTGTACTATTACATCAGAGCCACTGTTGGCCTTACTGTGCAGTAGTGGCAGCTGCATCAAATATGTGACTTGTTTGTTGAAATAAAAAAACAATAAACCTTAATGTAAGTTTTAAAATCGACAGACAACAATAGCTCATATATATGCTCTGGGATCAGTTCATGTTTCGATCACAGGAAACAGAAATAATTATCTTTAAATGTGTAAACGTCAGAGGTGCTGACAAAACTAAGCAACTTAAACTCTCCATTCAAACCCATCCATCCATAAACTCTAAGACGAAAGACGCTGTGTGCAGTCTGGCTCTCTGCCTGTGTTTAGTTTGGCTCACACACACACACACCTTCAGTATGTATAATGTCACATTATTAGACACAACCCTACGGACACCAAATATCATCGACCCAGTGTGATGAGCAGTAAGGAAGATGAATTTTAATATGATTTATTTCCTCTCAAACAAATACGCAGCGATCGGGTCGTCTGGACTGGAAGGATTCTCCCAGTTGAAACCAGTGATAATGGTGTCTGGTTTGTGTGTGTGTGTGTCCAGCGGCACATATGCAGCAGCCACGTTTTAAGTAATCTCTCTTCTTCATTTCTCTTCCCGGGTTCACTTTCACACAGTATAAAACTCTCATTACTGTCAGATTCCAATTTTCACTATGATTCAATTTGCCGTAATTACTGTTGCTGCCGCTAATAAAAAAAAGGGAAGAGTGGGAATGTCTAGAAAAGCAAAGGTGCAAAGGTCAACTGGCAGTTAGCAGCATTCATTTTCATCTCAGTGTATTCATCTGGGGCGGCTAATGGCCCAATTTTCTCCTCCTCGGTCCTCAATAAATATCGCTGGAATTACAGGTTAAATAGCCAAATTAAATCACAGCTATTACAGTTGAAGGAGGGAGGAAGAGATGTACAATTAAAGCAGACGCACGGATCAACACAAATGTGTGCGATAAATGCAGTGAGTGTCAGCCGAGGCTGTAAGGATTATTGTGTCCTACAAAGATCCTTTTCCTTTATGGCGACACAGAGTCAGACTCGTCTTTCCAGTGTTTTCTATCCTCTCAAGCTGCAGCTATTCCTTTGCTTTTCTTATATAGAGAAAAATATCAAATGAATTTTACTACAACTGCAGTTAAATGTCAGCAATACCAGCTCCAGTCGCCCCGCAACTTTATAAGATCAAAGTAAAATTCCTGGATCGGAGCAAATTCCCGCTCCACCCACCCCTGCTTCTGCTAAATTATTTTTATCCTCAGTGGGGTTACATTTCTATCCCCACCCTCTGATTTTTACACTGCAGCACAAACAATACTCAAATCAGAAATTGACTTTAAATTGAATTTCAAATTGAATTTCCGAGCTCACGAGGGCAGACTCGGAGATCACGTTCTGACTTTGCACTGTGCCGTCAAGCATCGCTGTTTCAATGTATGTAGAAACGCAAAGGATTCAGAGCCTGACAGAAAAGTCCTGGAAACATTCCTTATGAGTCTAAACTGCACGTTGGATAATCTGCATCACTCACAAAATGAGATCTGTAGCTTCTAACTTCAGCTTATTGAGCTGCAGTTATGCACCGAGGCTTCTGTCTCACAGCTCACAGGTAGAAACGTCGCTGAAGGTTCCTGAAGAAATTTTATACACACAGTTTGTTGACTTTGCAAGTGATTGAGCAGCCACGCTCAGTGTGAAAAGAGTTTCCCCA